TGTGTGTGTGTGTGTGTGTGTGTGTGTGTATGTCTGTGTGTCTGTAGCTGTGTGTTCGTATTTTTTGTCACCCACTTCATCTTGTGAACCAGAAAAGCTAGGAAGCTGAAACTTCGGAAGCATGTGCCCACCCCACATTCAACCCTCCCGCTTTAATGTTGTGATTCGCCTACGGCTGGGTCCCACGTCAAAAAATATACAAACTTTTTGGCGGGGAAACGATCGCGAAAATCAGATAAGATAGAAAACAGAAACTTTTGCAGGAATATTCTCTGTGCACGTGTGAGCTGAAGATTTCAAATTCAACTCTCATGACGTCTTCACCGTGTGTACGGTCACGTTAAAATTCGCAGCTGGCTCTATGCCAACTTGAAAACTGGCTAAAAAATGCGGCTGAATTTGGCCCGAATATTTATTGCCCGTCTGGAAAACTGTACACTTAAATCGAGTTTCGATTTGCACTTGGGCACTTCAAAGATATTTGTGGCAAAGAGATGATTTTGCATATCGGAGAAGCTCTGAAACTGAAATTTCGCAGTGACAGTCTACACTCATGTGCGATCTAAATACAGCTTGGAAACTAAATTCCCGCACGCGGTCGTAAGAAATACTCAATTTTATCGCAAACTCAAAAGCAAGTTCAATTTGAGGATGTAGTAATTCTCTCCCGAGCGTTAAATTTTCATTTTTCTGTTATCATCGACCTGACTGCTGTACGTCTAGCGAAAAAGCGTATGATTGTGCTGGCAAACCTGCTGTATTCCAGCCTGGAAATTTGCGTCTAGGATCCCGTGCACTGGTGTAGATTAGGTTGCCAAAGTTTTAGCTTTATAGCCTTCGTAGGTTTCGAGTTCAAGATATGCAGACAGATGCACATGCACATACACGCGCACACACATAAATCGAAAATAATCCCTCGACAGTATGCATTTCCTGAGCTAAAAAGCATCTGAAACAAGAAGTACCAAGTTGCATTACAAATCGAAGATTCGTAATTATTATAATTAATTATTATTGCGTTGTCCGTTATACCAAAGACAATATGTGCACTGTTTTCCACACACTACACGTTGTTATCTGCGTATCCACAGTTTATCCAAATACGCTCTACCTATGTAATTGGCGACAGAAATCCGAATATTCATAAATTTCTGCCTTGGGCTTCTTTGGTCAAGCTTTTCTAATTAGACTCATTCTGAAAAAATTCAATATTAGTGGCTAATCTTTTTGCACTTTTTTATGCGTTTTTTGCAGCTATGCAATGCGGAAAACGCAAATTGACGAGAGGTTGGTTGTCTGCGTGTGTGTGTGTGTCTGTCTGTGTGTGCGCTGGTCCTTTGTACCGATTTTTCATCTCGAGATGAAATTGAAGATTATTAAAGATTATCGTTCTCACGGAAATAACAGGTGAAAAATGGAAATCATTACTAGTCACGAAGTTATCAAAAAATATTTGCAAGAACTAGTGACTAAAATTGAAAGCCAAATCACTATTATCAAATCAGATTTGCACTTGATTTCTGCTCAGTATCTTTTAAAAGAGAAAAATGCGTTATTACAAACTTTAGAAAATATAATTTTTCCTCAATCAATTTATCAGTTACGTTCATTTGAACAAACAGTAAATGATTTACATAAAAAAATTAAAAACTTATCATTAGCTAATCAACGATGATTGGAACAAAAACAAAGTAATGAACTTGATAAAGTAATTGAATCATCTATTCAAAAAAACCTACAGGGCTGAAACTTTGAGACCTTGATCTACAAGCATGTTCGGGCCCCATCCCCGAAATGGGCGGTCTTACCCGCATAGTACCCACGTACGCGCCGGTGAAAGTTTTTTGCGGGTAAGTCGTTAATTCGCCAACCAGAAAAGCTAGAAAGGTGAAGTTTTAAGGGGATGTTCACCGTCCACGTAAGTCTCATTGAGTTTAAACCCAGAATCCGGGTATGCGTAGTACCCACATACGGGACCGCCAAATTTTTTTCCGGTAAGTTGCTAACTCGGGAAACTGGAAAGTTAGAAGGCTCTAATTTTAAGGGAATCTTCCCTGTCCACGTAAGTCTCAACAAGCTCAAACCCAGCCCTCGGATATGCGTGGCACCCGTATACGGGCCCTCCAAAATTTTTTTCAGGTAAGTCGCTCGGGAATCAGAAAAGCTAGAAAGTTGAAATTTTACGGGGACGTTCCCTTTCCATGTAAGTCTTAATGAGCTTCAAACCCAGACTCTGGGTTTGCGTGGACTCAAGTACGAGCCCGCCAAAGTTTTTTTTCAGGTAAGTTCCTAACTCGAGTATCTGAAAACCTAGAAGGTTGAAATTTTGAGGGAGTATTCTCCGCCCAAGTAGGTATTGACGAGTCCAAACCCAGCCATCGGGTATGCGTGGTACCCACGCACGGGCTCACCAAATTTTTTCTTGAGTAAGTTGCTAACTCGAGAACCTGAAAAGCTAGAAGACTGTTATTTTAAGAGGATGTTCTCCTTCCACGCAACTCTCAATAAGCTCAAACTCAAACATCGGGTATGCATGGTACCCACGTACGAGCTCGTGAAACTTTTTTCCAGTAACTTGCTAACTCAGCAGCCAGGAAAGCTAAAAAGCTGAAATTTTAAAGGGGGTTTTTCCTAACAGTTCTGATGGTCAGTCTTAATTTGTTTAGCTAGAAGCATTTGCCGGAAAAACCGGTGTCGATAGCGACAAAAGCTGCGGAGAATTATGCAAAAAATTCATCTTCGCATGGACAGCCCGAGCGCTGGCTAATTATTTATATTATTGAAATGATGCGGTGTAATGTTGCAAGTTGCAATTGGACGAATTTTCCTCAGGTATTTACTCAGTTGAATTATGCTCACTGATTCATGTTATCCAACTCGTAACTTTTTATTGGCTTGTAACAGGCTGGTTCATTCAAAGCCATTCTCCAGGTTGCCATAAATTTCTGTAATTATCTTCATATTTTTCAGGATTTTCGTCCCGTCATTACTTGTTACTCCAGTAATTTTATTTAATGTTAATAAATATTTGCTTCTTGTCGCTGCACATTTCACAAGGTCTTCGCTGCAGTATTTCATCTACTGTTTAGGAACAGACGAAGCCATACCTTTTACGTTATTATTCCAAACATCAAAGGGAATGGACCGAACAGAATGGGGCATACAACAAAAACAAATAAGTGATAAATTTTAGGTTCAAGTTTTTCAAGCATAAACCAAACATGCTTTTTGCTGAAAGAAGATTGTTTCCTGTTATGGAAAAAAGCAAGACTTTAAAATTTTCCTAACTGTAACAGATATATCTGACTGTGCCTTTGATTGTTCATCGATGGGCTAACTCATATTGGTGAAAATTGATTTATAGTAGTTTTGTTCATAAATAATTTTTACTTTGTAAAGGTTGAAATCGTTGTGCAATTTGTTGTGCTCTTCATGGACTGTTGCTCTTTGCTCCTCAAACCGGAAATGTTTCGGTACTGTCAGGTAACCTCCCTTCCCATAAGGTTTCAGTCAGTATCGCTTTAAAAAGAACTCAAACCTCTCACAATGCACCAAATGTATTCTGTAGTGGACATGTTATGTTGGCTTTTCAGATAGATTGTGTGGGGGCTGCGCTGCAGCTA